CCCCAAAACCCCAAAACCCCAAAACCCCAAAACCCCAAGAATCTGGAAATATTAATTATAATTATAAAATTTTCAGAAATATGAAAGAAAGCAAGAGTGAAAAAGTATTTGAAAGACTTGCTCCTAGAGGGAACATTGGAGATGTTGATCAAATCAATAGCTCAAGAAATTCGGTAATTATTGACTGCTTCCAGGTCCCTCCAATATCTTGCAAGGAATGTTTTTATATAGTGGTATAGGTATACCCCTTTACACAACCTCCGAAGCCGATTGAGAATACCTATCTTAACAGTGTTCCATACCCAGTTCCTAGTAGCTACCCAATGAACTATTATAATTATGGAGGTATGTAATTTCTATAGGAATTTGTCTTGGATTCATCAAAAGTTAAGAGTCTTCAAAATAGAAGCTAAACTTAGTGATATAGGCTATTATCCATATAATTATGGGTGATACACACCTCAGCCACATGAAGAAGTTATTGAAAAGGCCCATTCTGAAGGAGAATTTAATCCTGATCTTGAGAAAATAAAGCAGTTACAGAGAGAAAATGAGTTGTTGAACAGGAAATTAAATCAGGAAGATGATGATCAGGATGAAGTAGAATCGAAAATAACTAATAGGCAAAAGGATATGTTGGTGGGTTTATAAAGTCTTTGATTACTTTTATTTGATTTACAGTAGAATTGTGTTCAAAATAAGTATAATTAGATTTTGAGGAGATTATTTTGAGTAATAGTATGTATAGGATGAAATGAAAGATCAAATTAGAAGCTTATTAGGTAATTCATAAAAATTAAATCAAATAGAAAAAGAAAGACAAGATAAGCGAAACCAAGATCAAGCTGAAGAATTTAAGCGGAAAAATGAAGATAATGCAATCATTGAGATTCTTAAGAATCAAAAAGATCAAATTGACACTCTTGCTCTTGGCATAAAATCAATTCAAGAAGAAAAACTTCAAAATGAGCAAAAGATGGCTTCTGAAGCTTTAGCTGCAATTCAAGCACAGCAAACGCTTGAGGATAAGTATCACAAAAAGCATGCAAAAGCTCTAAAAAGGATCAAGCAGAAAGAGAGAAAGAAGCGGAAGCAATTTGCTGGAGAGCTTCAGCAATACAATCTCATGTACAGCAACCCTTATTATGCACAAGGAATGATGCCATTTGCTGGTTATAGATAATTTTCTTCTAAAATTTCAATATTTCTTCTAGAAAATGGGGTTTTGGGGTTTTGGGGTTTTGGGG